AGACTCCATATATACTATATAGTAGACTCCATATATACTATATAGTAGACTCCATATATACTATATAGTAGACTCCATGTATACTACTCTATATAGACTTAACTGAAGGCTATATGGGACTATGTTATTCGAACTCTGATTAATACATTCAACTGTCTATAAACGCACACACTTCCAATCAAAGATGCTTAAAATTCCTAGCATACAGACAGATCTTAATGCGAGATATTATCCAAATCCCAACTACCAGTATGTATAGCACAATCTATATATATATATATATGTGTGTCTATGTATACAACACATTCGCATATTTGGTGCGATAAGCTAACCGAGTTGGTGCGAATCAATTTCTGCCATGTCGCGATCACATGCGATTTGACAAAATCAAAGTGCGCCCAATTATAGAAACCCCTTTAGCTCGATCGCTAGGCAACAAACTAGCTATGGCCATTGGCTGTTGCCTGTTGGCCATATCGTATTTGGTATTTGGGGAGCGTGTGTTTATTCTGACATTGCGCGAGCGCGTGTTGCTTTCTAGTTTCAATTATGATTGGTGATAATTCAATTATCGAGCAATTAACGTTTTGAATGAAGCGTCCATAAACATCTAATACGAATTTTACGAATTCTAGACCGTGGGCTCTGTGCCAGCAAGGGGCGGGAGGCAGGAGTGGGTGGAGTGAAATGAAAAGCAATAGACGCGAGAGCGAATGTAAGAATCAATAACAGCCATAATCAATAAATAATCGTTGCAAAGTCACAAATAAAGCACTTCACGAATTATTATCACCGTTATCATCATCATCATCATCATCATCATCATTATAGGCGTCGATAAACGTATATATGATATATTTCAAGCACCTGTTTTAAGCTGGAAAACAACTAGAAAATATCGTCACTCTATAAATTGCCTGAGGAGTGGATCTATAGATAAAACTGGAAAGGAATTGATTCTCGCTCGCTCTCCTTCCTCTCTCTGATTTAGGAAACAACCGTCGACTTATGTAATCTCTTTCAGTATACGGCTTCTCATGGAAGTCTTACAATAGATAATATGCATTAGAGATTTAACCGCTCAAGCTCTTGGAATTCATGAGATTCTTAACTGAGCTGATAGATGCAGATCTCGAATTGAATTTCATATCGAATAAATTAACGGCGAATAAATGAAATATTCATTCGGCAAACAGCTGAGAGAGTTTCAATGGCAGTACAAAAATGGAGCGCGTGAATATCAAACTAAATATCCAGTTGAATACAAATGAATTCACTGTCTGGGGGTAGGGCATGGAGGAGGGTCTGAAGGTTTCGCGACCCGAAACATCGTTGCCCTCATTTTAGTTTTCTCATCGCACTTTTTGGACAGTGGAATCATTAGCCTGTTGCATGATATGCGAGTGAAGGTTATTTGAGTTGAGGGCTTGACAAATGACAGAATTTCAAGTGCATTGATACATATATATCACATTGGTATTACAGAAGAAAATTGACATTAGTTAGCCATACGTAATGGTGTGCTATGCTATGGGGTAGAGATAGGTTCTCTGTCAACTTACCTGTGCCAGCCTTATCGTACTTACGGCACGGCTGCGCTGCGACTGCGCTGCTGCTGCTGATAGTGAGTCGAAATACGATGACGTTGCCATTGACTATCGCATTGAGTTCATAATTCTGCTGATTAACAATTGTTTGGCCGATAAATCACGCGGCTGGGCTCCAACAAATTGGCCAATATAAAAAGCGGGCTAAGGTCGTATATTATAGACTCGCGTCAATCGGTAGGGGCCTTATCCATGGCTTCCTTAACCCAAGTGCATCTGTCACAAAGTTGACAATTAATAACTTGTTAATAAATAATAACGAGCTGACGACTTACCCGAGCAATAAAAATGCTGGACAAGAATTATTGTAGATAGATTATTGTAGAGGCGTCAGGCATTAGATTTAGCCTTTTGCTAAGCAATCCTGTAAGCATAATAATCACATAATCATTATCAGTCGGGGAGTCAATCGGTTCATAAATATGCATGCTCTTCAATCAATCAATCAATCGTTAGGTACATCAGTGAGTGGAAACCGTCTTATATATACACTGTTCAATCAGTGTGTCCTTCAACCTATCTTTTATGTAAGTCAGCTCGTCCGTCAATCAGGCAATACACATTGTATTCAGTCAGTCAGTCATACATTTTTATTGATAAACTGATAGCTGGTCAATCAAACAATCAATTTCGTATAATCAATAAATTATTTAGTCGTTCAATCAGTATGAATTGTGTTTAGTCTCTATCAATCTCTATCAATCAGCAAATCAAAAATGGTAATTGATGATGGAACAATTTGATTATATGTATTATTATGGATAAGTCAATTGTGTAACAGTTTGTATTGACTGATTGATGGATTAGTCTATACTTTGCTTAACTGACTAGCTATACAATTGATTGACTAACTAATTGTAGCTGTTCAACTGTAACTGTTGTAACTGTTCAATTAGTTAATCAATCAATTGTATTACCACTCAGTTACACAATAGACTAATCCAACAATCAATCATCACAAACTGTTTTACATATACTGTTCAATCAATCAATCAATCAGTCAACAAGGCAGACCGAACTATATACAGATTATTAAAACTCAATCATTCACAAAATAACTGTATGTTATATATACATATATAAATCAGTCAACCATGAAGAATCATTACAAACTGTTTTACGAATACTGTTCAATCAATCAATCAGTCAACAACGCAGACCGAGCTATATACAGATTATTATTCAGAAGCAAAAGCAGAATTAAAACTCAATCATTCACAATATAACTGTATATATAATCATATATACATCAGTCAACCATGAAGATCTAGGCTTAAATATAATTAAAAGTCAGCTACGGTTACGGTACAACATTGGCTATAACTGTTATATGATGCCATATAAAATTGCTCATAATTTGTCAACTCGTTTTCCGATTCATCTCGCTCACCTGTAAGTCTCTCCCGTTCTCTCTCTCTTTCTCTCGCTCTGCTTGGGTACAGCAGGGGCATAGGCACCGGGGTGCTATCAAATTCGAGACCGGAACCTTCAATCGCTGTTCAGATAACGGCATTTCGCTTGAAAGAACTTTTGCCTCAGTGCTCTTATATAAGGGAGCTGAGTGCACGTCCCTCACTTGGGGCGCTCCTCCTCCTCCTCCAGCAGCAGCTGGAAGATTGTGTAACCTCTAGTTAGTTAATGCTCGAGCCGATAACAGTTGGTAAACTCCATTTACTTCTTACTTACAGCTGGCGACCCGCTCGATTGAGCCGTCGTTTGGCCTGCTGTTTGGGGACACGCTGCGCGATCTCAGTGTGGGCACCACCGGAGCGGCCGTCATCATCAGCACGATGGACGTGTGCATGAACTTCTCGGGCCTGTTTGTGGGGCCGCTGCTTAAGGAGTTCTCCTACCGCAAGGTGGCCATCGCTGGCTCCCTGCTGTGCGGCCTGGGCCTGGCCCTGACCTCGCCGGCAACGACAATGGCCCACATACTGAGCACGTACAGTGTGATCAACGGCATCGGCGTCGGGCTGTCCACGTCGGCGGCGTTTGTGGCGCTCAATCATTACTTCAAGCATAAGCGCGGCCAGGCGGTGGGCCTCTCCATGGCCGGCACGGCGATGGGCATGCTGATAATGCCGCAGCTGGTGCGAATTCTGCTGGAGGCGTATGACTTTCGTGGTGCGGTCCTCTTGCTGGCGGGCGTGGCGCTGAACGCAATTGTCGGCTCGGTGCTGCTGCAGCCCGTCAAGTGGCACATGAAGGAGGAGTTCGATGACGAGGAGCTGATGTGCATCTCGGCGCTGCCGACGCCGCAGCCCCAGCTGACGGCCGGCACTGGGGCAGCAGCGAATCCGGCGCCCACCTTCAATGTGATCAAAGAGGATGGCAACGAGGAGGATGCACTGCCGGAGCTGAATACGCTGCTCTTCAACAAGCATCACCATCAGCACGGCCATCCGTCGATGCGCAAGAATTACTCCGAAATGGCCATGAACACGATGAACGGCTCCCGACTGGGCCTGACCAAGCGGCCGACCTTTCCGCGCATCATGTCCCTGGCCGGTGTGCAGTCCGCGGACGTGGGCAGCGGCAGCGGCGGCTATCCCTCACAGGCGGAGATCAATACGACGCAGTTGCGCTGCCGCAAGGCGTCGGTCACCTCGAATCTGTCCTACATGGACTTCACCGGCTCCATACTCCAGGTCCATTTGAATACCGGCGACGATGAGTTCGAGCGCAATGATCTGGAGCTGCGACGCGTTGGCACCGCCACCGGCAGCATTCTGGGCGGGCATCGTGACAGCTTCATCAAAATGAAACCCACCGAGCTGGAGAAGCAGCAGACCGAACTGGACAACGAGGAGGCCAAGAAGAACGCCAAGAAGCCGGGCTTCTGGCGTCGTTTCGCCGATCTCCTGGACATAGCCATGCTCAAGGACAAGATGTTTCTCAATCTGCTGTTCGGCCTGTCCATCTTCTACGTGGCCGAGATGAACTTCAAAATGGTGACGCCCTTCTTCTTTGCCAACCTGGGCTACTCCAAGTCCGATGTGGCCTACTGTCTGTCGATAACAGCCATCACGGACATTGCAGCGCGTATCGTACTGCCGCCCATCTTCGACAGGACCACGATCAAGAAACGCACCATCTTCCTGGTCTCGATCATCTTTGTGGCCATCACGCGCTCCAGTACGTACCGAGTGGAGGGCACACTCAATGAATCATCCATCTCTAATCCATATATATATATACTATATTTCCATTGCAGTTATGGCAGAGCAAACGGATTGGACACAGCTCATGGTCTGGCTATCCATTTGCGGCTTCTTCCGCGGCTCGGCGCTAAGCAACTTCACGCTGACCGTCTCCGAGTATTGTTCGCTGGAGAAGCTGCCCTCGGCCTTTGGCTGGCATCTGGTGGGCAAGGCGTTGTTTGTCATCAGCTTCGGCCCCCTGATCGGTGAGCTCCACTCCATGGAATTGCATAGCATTGCAACTAATTAACGGACTGTTCGATTTCAGGTCTCATTCGTGATCTAACCAAGAGCTATCCCATTTGCATTCATGCGCAGAGCGTTTGCATTATGATCTGCGCCGTTGCCTGGGGCATTGAGTATTTGGTGGAGTTTATTCAGTCGCGTCGTCGCACCGCCGATGTGTCGCAGGAGGGCGCAGCTGAAGCAGCGTCAGCGTCAGCGTCAGCGACAGCGACAGCGCCAGCCGGCCAGGATGTCAAGCTGTAATATGAAGGCCAAAGATCAACAGAGAATCAAACAGAGATGCAGAATATAAACAACAACAACAACAACAACAACAACAACAAAAGAAAAACTCATCAAATGCAAACTACTTAATACTTAATTAACATAGACATAGATACTTAATAAAAAAAAAAAAATCTGTCATTGTGGGCTATTTGCAGAGAGTGTTGGCTGATCTAGCTAACTACACAAAATGCTAAATGGCCCAGGGAAAAACTAAAAATATTATACTGTGTAGCCCTCCTCCCCTCTAATTGTATTAAACTCTCATTTGCCAGTCTACTATATATATATATATATATATATATATACACATATGTGTGTAAAGTTCGTTCCACTTGAGATCTGCTAGTGGAACGATCTTTGACATCATTCATACCTATTAGTCTCTATTATTATTTTATCAACATTTTTTTTTTTTTTTTTTTGTTTACTTATTGTATGAACTTGTATGTGATAGTTCAAAGATAGATGTAAGTTAGAACGTAAAGCGAGCATATTTTACAAAGTACACAAAAAAACATAGCTGTACAATATTAATATGAACAAAAGGCATTAAAAAAAACAACAACGACAACAACAACAAATCAAACAAACAATAAATGAAGAACTGGCTTTAAAATTGATATACAAATATACATATATGTTTATATATATACTGTTTATATATATATACGACCATGGAACAGCCCCTACAAATATATCTGTATAAAACCATAAATGTATACATATAAATATATACCTAGCCTAACTATAGAAAAGAGCTAAAAAAAAAACAATAACTGGAAATGGAATTGTTTTACCAATTTACACCTGATTCATATGCCTATTTATAGAAACATTTACAAACATATACACAAACGAGCCAGAAGCCAACTTAAATGAACTGAGTTAACAAAATAAAGTTAAATTGAAACAGGATTTATATAGATATACACCTAAACACACATGCTGGCACCTGTGAAGGTGCTGAAAAAGCATGAACTAAACTTGCAGATGCCAATGGGTAACACACTAAACAGAGAGAGAAAGAGAGAGAGAGAGAGAGCGGAGAGAAGGCAGCTGGGAGAGTTAGCTGGTGAGATAGAGAAATGGATATGCACAAGGTACTGAAGAATGGAGATGGAGCTATAGATAGAAAGATGTAAGGGCAAAGCAGAGATAGTAACTGAAATGTATTTTAGAAGAAATATATACAGCTAGGCAGAGACAGAGAAAAATAAATGTATCTAAGGAGATATATATGTACATCTTATATAATAAAAGAAGATATCAGAGATACACATAGAGAGAGAAAGAGAGAGAGAGATGGGTTATACTACAAGAATGAACGACAAAGATCCAATATAAAAGATAGAGAAATGGGAAGAAACAGAACATCTATGCAAACAGTGAGAGAAAGTGACAAAAAATCAGAAATATAAATACAGATACAGAAAGACAGAAATCAACAACGATATATGTATAGAGAGAAAGAGGAAGAGACAGAGAGATTAGAGAAAGAGGGAGAGAGAGAGAGAGAGAGATTAGAGAAAGAGGGAGACAGATTAGAGAAAGGGAGAGAGTAGAGAAAGGGAGAGAGAGTAGAGAAAGAGGGAGAGAGAGATTAGAGAAAGAGGGAGACAGATTAGAGAAAGAGGGAGAGATAGATTAGAGAAAGAGGGAGACAGATTAGAGAAAGAGAGAGAGTAGAGAAAGGGAGAGAGAGTAGATAAAGAGGGAGAGAGAGATTAGAGAAAGAGGGATAGAGAGATTAGAGAAAGAGGAACAGAGAGAGATTAGAGAAAGAGGAACAGAGAGAAAGAGAGAGAGAGAGAGTAGAGAAAGAGGGAGAGAAAACCCTATGTAAAGAGAAAGACAGTATACTATAGGTAAAGAAAGATATAAATATAGTAGAATAAACAAACAGATGGATAAGAACAAAATCTAGAGAGGGGAACGAAATGTATATTGAGGATTAGAGCTAGAGAAAGGTAGAGAGGGTGAAAAAAGAAGAAGAAAAAGAGTTACACAAACAAAGAGAGAGAGAGTGAGGAGAGAGTGTGGGCGTAACCATCATCTATCGACGTCTAGCCTAACCGAGCTAAAAAGAAATACACAAAGGATACAGTGAGATGAATGAAGATAATGTTCAACAATATATATTCAATTGAATGAAAATAACCCACCAGAAGCGAGCAACAAAATGTTAACTACAAATATACATATATGCAACTGCATTAGGTTCTCCATTTAGCCAATAAAATGCCAGACAGCTAACATGCAACACGACAAGTACACCTACATAGATAGCTACAGGTGTGTATATGCATGTATATGTGTGCCTATGCAAATGCCTAGCTGGACATGCGAATAATGCCTTATTGTAAGATATATAGAAATCGGAACATAAATGACAAGAAAATTATAATCAGAATAATGATAAGAGATCAACGGAAAGCAATAAGTGTTGCTAAAGTGTATAGAAAATGCCATGACCAAAATCCATACTGTCCAGATTGGGCTACAAGAATATAGTATATATATATGGCAGCTGTATGCCACGCCCACATTAACACAAAATATTGAAAACTCACAGTATGTACTTAAAAACTTGAAACGGATTATGTTGAGTGTAGTATATAAAGCCCGATTTTTTTTGTATGAATATATATGTATGTACATGCATGTATGCATATAACATATATGATATGTATTACCGTATACTTGTTTAGAAATCTAGTAATTATATTTAGAGAAACAGTGTTATCTTTTGGATATGCATTGACGATATTGCCTTATACATAGCATATATATATATATATAACTAGATGATATATTATCAAATTTAAATAAAGTGATATAATAACAACAGAGAATTTCAATTGGGGCGTGTATCTCTCAGACGGCTATAACAGATTTTTATGACGGTGCCGGTATCTACCAGTCGAGCAACGTCTGAGAGTAGTCGAAGGCCGTTCGAAATAAAAACAAACTGTAAGCGATAATGGTAGTTCCGTAAAATCAACTCGATTGTAAAGCAATAACTGTCTCTTTCCATATGGCAAATATGACGAAATTGATAATGCTAATGACAATGATAATTATTACATAGCAAAGATCTTGGCGAGGAAACCAAACATGAGGGTACGTCGGGCGAAAAAGTGCCCCTAATGCGTGAAGAATAAATTTAGATTGGTATAAATTATACGTCCGTTAGTCTCCAGCGACATTTCTAGTGAGGCAAGATGCTTCAGGCTCCGTATGCACTTGCTATAAATCTCACGGGGATTTCAGAGAGATGGCACTCTTTATCTAAACAACCAGACCATACGCTGCTGGCACTGTAAATAGTTGACTGATAACGAAAACTATACGAAATGATAGCTGATGATTGTTGATACCAAGAATTCTTGTTTTGCCAGAAAGAGAACAACTAGATCGTTGCTGGGGGAAAAGCACGCGACTGGGAGATACCCTGAGATCTATAGAGATCTGCATCAAAACTTGCATATTTATATATTCATTATGGGAACCTATACAATGAAGTAAAATTCTAGACGACTTGGGGTATATCTTATATCTTTTTATCGATAACAAAATGAGAGTTAATGAAAAAACTCGTACTACACATTGTAGTTTACAAGATCTCAAAGATCACACGAAGGTATAGACGAGAGCGTGGTAGAGTCAATAGAGCCTATATTCTTGATGAAGATGGTGAGCTGGGGTGGCTCTACCACGCCTTCACTCTCACAGAACCATCATGCCGCAACCCCCCCAATTTCAAAGAGTCCGGGGTATAGCGAGTGCTGTGCTGTGGACCGATGGTAAATAAAAGGTAGATCCCATCTGAACGAGACTACTCTATGTGAATGGTTCTTGCCACGGAAGTTTCTGACACGGCCATTCCAGCGTTAGGCGCTGTCCAAGCATCCATAGAGAGGCACACTTTTAGCTGGCCCTAATCTAATCAGCCTTCAGTCTTTATGGCTTAAACTAGCACCACAATTCAAACTAATTGCTACTGTCAGCAGTCAGAGGCTGATGATTAATAGTCAAACGGATGATGAGCTCTTCAATCTAGTCCCGGCGCGATTCACTCACCGGACGACTTCCGAGCAGCTAAGATGACTGCCGCAGCAACGTCAGCCAAATCCAAATCCTATCAATGGGTGGCCCCCGATGGAGGCTGGGGCATACTCGTCTGCATTGGCATGGCGCTGCCATTCGTAAGTGTGAACTGCAAATGGAAGAGAGGAGGAGAGCTATATAGTATATACATGCATATATTTAGTACATATGTATATGTGTATACCTACCCTCTATATACCACATATATATCTGATCCATGAAGGCGCCGCTTCTTACAGATCAGCGGCCTGGCAGCGTTGCCCTCGTTCGGCTTAATCTTCGGCGACTTCCTGAAGAGCATCGGCGCCGAGACGAGCGCCATTGCCATCATAACCAGCTCGTTCTTTTGCTCGTTGAGCTTTGCGGGACTCTTCTCCGGCTCGCTGTTCCGAAAGTTTGGCATGCGGCCCGTGGGCCTGGCCGGTGGCATCCTTTACTTTGTGGGCACGGGCATGCAGGTGTTTGCCAATACAACGCTGCAGCTGATCCTTGCGTTCAGTTTGCTGCAGGGCACCGGATTCGGCCTAATCATTCCCACCAGCTATACGTCGTTTAACAACTATTTCGTGAAGAATCGCGTCATGTGGATGAGCTTCGCCCAGTCGCTGATTGGCCTCGGCTCGATGGTCTATCCCATTCTGATGCAGATGCTGATGCAGACGTACGGCTTCCGTGGCTGTCTCCTGGTTCTGACGGGCATCAATGCGCACGCCGTGCTGGGCATGCTGCTCATGCATCCCGTCGAGTGGCATATGCGGCGCGTGCCCGTCGAGGAGGAGGAGGAGGCCCAGCAGTTGCAGCCCCTCGCTCAGCCAACGGTCGTGGTGCACATTCAGCCAGAGACGCCATTGACGCCGATACCAGAGCTCGAGTTCGGGCCAAAGGCAAATGGTGGAGCTGCGCCGGTTACCGATTCATTGCCAGTGTC